TTATGATATCACTCTGATATCCTTGTGAGACCCGAACTGATTTTATTTTATGTAAGTTTGGAAGTTGAAGAAATGGGTACAAGACTTAAGTGAATGACAGGGCTGGGGACATAGCTCAGTGGCACAAGTGCCGGTCTGGCAAGAGCAAGGTCCTGAGTTTATGTCCTGGAAAAAAAAAAAAAAAAAAAAAGACTTAAGTGAATAGAAATTATATCCAGAGTGCACATAGGGACATTTCTTTCTGACAGAAGAGAATGTCTTGTCTCAGAAACCTCTGTTTCAGGGGCCCCAGTGATTTTTGACAGTGGAGGCTGTTGCCCCAATAAAAAACTCTAGCACATCGGTGGCTTTTGGGCATACAGTTCTGCCTTTTATTACCTGGTGACTGGAAGTTGCAGGCCATCTGGACTGGGGGTGATTAGTGTGCCCAAGTGGTGTGGGGTTGTAGCTTTGGCACGTCGCGTGTCAGATCGGCCACTTTGAAAGAGCCAGTCCCTTAGCCGCTGCCGCTGGCTGGCTCTCCTTGTCTTCTCTGTCTTCTGCCTGCTCCTCCCCATCTCCTGAGCCTGCTTGGCCCCAGCTCGGCTCTCCCTGCGGCTGGGAAGGTAATTGAATACTTGAGTTTAAAAGGAAAGCGCATCCTTTTAAACTAAAACGCGCCTGCTGGGCTGTAAACAGCTTTTAGTGACATTATCGGCTACTCTGAAAACCTAACAAAGGAGTTATTTGTGCAGTTGAAAGTAGGATTTGCCTCATAAAAGTCACAATTTGAATTCATTTTTACTCTTAACTCCAGCCAACCTTTTCTGTTTTAAAAGAGGGGGGAAAAGAAAGAAGAAAAAAAACCCTACCACATCCATCAGGGTCCTAACTGCCTCTAACCTCAGGCAGCCCAATTCCTAGTTGGCTGGGACTTTTGGTGTAAGTAGAAGGTTGAGGAGGAAAATGAATTTAATTCTTTTGTCATTTAAAGAAAAACATGTTTGAAAATGTCTTTGGTGGCCTTGGCGGATGGCGCGTAACAGTCGTTTTCTGTCTCTGCAGAATTAAGGTGAAAAGCACGGAAGTTGAGACCCTGAACAAGTCTCAGATTGAGAGCATTGCCTCTTCCCTGGGTAAGAGACTGTTCGCAGGGGGCCATTAGGTCTAATGGGATCAGAGGGAGTTGGTGAGAATTTAAGGACTCGGCTCTGTAGGTAAAAAATTGCCCAATGCACGTTCCCATAGGGGATGTGAGTGAAAGAAAGGAAAAAAATGAATATGCTTTCATAAGCCTTGCTAAAATGTGCCCTTAGAGCCAATCTTATTCTTTTTGTGTGGGCGATTTCTTTCTTTCTTTCTTCCTTTTTTTTTTTCTCAATATGAGACAGGAGCTTACCATGTAGTCCAGACTGGCCTTGAACTCATGGCAATCCTCCTACCTCAGCCACTTGAGTGCTGAGAGGGATCCATCACCACACCCAGCTTTTTCTTTTTTCTTTTCTTTTTTTATTTGCAGCACTGGGAATGGAACCCAGAGCTTGGCATGTGCCAAGCAGATGCTTTACCGTTGAGTTATATCCCCAGCCCTTTTTATTTGAGTTTTCAGATTTGTCTTGCTAAGTTGCCCAGGTTGCCCTTGAACCTGTGATCCTCTTGCCTGCACTCCCCAGATAGCTAGGATGCTGAGTACACTACTGGGCCTGGCCCTCAGTCCAAAGGCTCAAAGCCATCTCTGTTGTGGCTGGCTGTAATCACAGGTCCTGCAGGAGTGCCTCCGTGAGGCAGATCTTTTCCTTTTTTCTCTGCCCATCCACAGTGGGGTGGCAAGGTGACTCTGTTGCCCTCTGGCTGGCTTGGTCCCTACCTGTACTTGGAGACTGTTTTGACATTCCAGAGGGAAGCCCAGGGGAGCAAGAACAGGTGCCCCTGTGCCCACGGTGGTGGCGAGCTTTGCCTACAGATGTCTTTGCAGGTGTGGGCCACACGGGTCAGTGGGAAGCAGGCCTTGGTTTCTTCCTCCCCGACACTTGATTGAGCATCTGCCCCCTTGCGTTTCATAGCTGAGAGGTGACCCTGTAAGGCACCCATCCCCCTACAGCTCAACAGTGTCGGCACCTAATCTCAGCTCAGCACACCCAAATGCAGAATTGTGTTTGTCCCTCAAAGTGGGAGTATCTGTTCCACCGTCAGGGATTGTTGGTCTTGTGAAAAGATCGACCAGACTTCTTTCCCATGACATTTATAAAGCAAGATCCAGTTCCCTGGGTCCCCAGGAAAAATTGCCATTGTTGGGCTCAGGCTCCGTCCCTGCCTGCCGCAGGTGGTGCTGACCATGTCCCTGATGGCGTCCTTGTCGTGGGTTCCGACCATGTTGGGGGGCTGGTTACTTGTTGGCGCTTTTAATATTAAACAGGGGCAAAATACTGTTTGGATTGAGGCATTATGCCCGCTGAGTTGTGATATTACATCCATCATCTTGTTCAAATAAGTAGCGCCGTGTCTGTGTGTCGGAATGAATAAATAAAACTGTTGCGGCAGGCAGGGAGGATGGGCTGGCGAGTGAGGCCCAGGATGAGCTTTTCTGGCTTTGAAACGCCCTTGCAAAGAAGTGAAGAAAATGTCCCAGCCCACAATGAGTCTTTTTAATCGGTCGAGCCTTACCCTCCCACCCCAAGAATACGCTGCCAGCAGCGTCCTTTATTTAGTTGGCATTGGTTTTTATTGACCCTGATTGAATTTGAAATTGTAAGGCAGAGAGAGGATTTGCAAAACATTTGAATACATTTTGTTCACAGTAGTGTTTTGTAACTTGGAGGAATTTATCTTTTTAGCCAATCAGGGTAAGGTCAGTACATTAAAAAAAAAAAAAAAAAACTTAAAAAAAGATCGCAACCCTGAATAGCTGTCTTGTAGCTTTGTCCCCTTTTCAGGGAAAACGAGAAATGTTAAGCCTGCCCTTCACTCACTTGTAGACGTAGGCTAGCGGTGACAATTGGACAGCGGAGCTTTTGAGCCAGGCTGTGACAGGCCCCGAGTACCCGGACGTAACGGGTGCTGTGTCCTTCCTGTCCCTTCAGCCTTGCAGACCGAGGTCCCCACTGCAGCCCTGCAGGAGCTGACCTACAGACGCTCACTGCGGGTGGCCCTGGATGTTTTGAATGAGGGCAGCGGTTTGAGTTGGGAAAGCACCTCAAGGAGAAATGGATCTGCTTGGTGGCGAAGGGAGAAGGAACCCACTGAAGCAGCCTCCTCGCTACGCAACACGCTCCATTCTTCCTTCCGTGAAGATGTGTCAGCCCATCCTGGCGAGAAAGAGCCTGAGGTCAAAGTGGATCACAAGAAAAGGCCAGGGAAAAGTGAGACCCCAGGAGCCCTGTTGGCTCCAGCCGGCCCTCAGGATGGGAGTGAGTGGGACGCAGGTCACACTCTCACCAGGAAGCGGGGCAGGAGTTTGGCCCAGAGGTCTGGCCAGTGCCAGGAGGCACCTGCTCCTTCTGGGGCACAGAGCGAGGAGCAGTGCGTAGGCCAGGCCTCGCTGCCCCAAGCCCAGGAGGACGATCTGTGTGCCCAAGCCGAAGGACACGACCCCGGTTTGCCATTAGGCAGCCTCACGGTGGTCCCGGCTCTGGACAGGGCTGGAGGGCCCCCTGCGAAGAGGATGCACCTGAGGCTACCTGCCACACAGCTGGAGCCGGAGCTGTCCCCCAAGCCACGACCCTGGGGGTACATGACCCTGCGGAGCACGTCCACCAGCCCTTGTCCCTCAGATACTGCAGTGGAGGACACGCAGTTCCCTCTTCTCCAGGATAGTGGCAGCGATGGGCTGGAAGAAGGTAAAATGTATGGGGCAGCTGCCTGCCTGCCTGCCCGGCCGGGTGGGGAACTAGAGCTGGGCTCTGCCAGGCCAGACTGGCAGGCGGGCACTGGGGTATTTTTAACCAAATCATAATGAAACCATTACCAGAATAGATCGAGAGCAGAGATTTCTCATTCCTTTGTGTTTGTCTCCCCACTGAGCTATAATTACTTCCAACTTCTCCCAAATATTTGTTTTTATTTTTGTTTTGGGCTGGAGTTGGGGGAGCCCAGTGTGGGCTGCTGTGAACTTGGCCTGCGTCTGGCCCCCAGGATTCTGTCCTTATTCTTTTAACCCTTGCACCACTCGAATGTCTTCCCCTAAATGAGGCAGGACAGGTTGAAGGGATGGAAAGGCCCCACTTGAACTCCCACACCATGGCCCTGGGTGTGCTATAGGGTGCCTGCTGGCTTTTTCCATCTTTTTTTATTTTTATTTTTATTTATTTATTTATTTATTTATTTATTTATTTTGTGTGTGGCCAGCTCAGCCCACCAGGGGGCGGGCGGGCTGGCATGTGGTGCTGGGGGATTGAACTGAGGTCCCTGTGCTTTGCTTGGCTTAGCTTGTTCTAAATAGGTGCTTTAGACCACTGAGCCATCTCACCAGCCCCGGCTTTTTCCATCTTAACCTTACAGGGTCTCACTTACTCTTGAAGTGTTAATTCAGAAATCCTAACTGCTGCAGAGGACAGGGAACTTGGCGTTGTGCTGCCCTCTGTCCTGAGGCCGTGTCCCTTACCCTGTCAGGCGAGGCAGGCGCTTGTAGTCAGCTCTGGGGTCTGGGGACCCACTCTCTGTGGGCCCTTAGTGCTTTGGGCTGTGAAGGAACCAGAGCAAGACAAAAGGGATTCCCATCCAGAGCTGCTGCCCTCATGGCCTCCCCTCCTTAGGGCATGAAAGGACATCCCTGTCTCTTATCTCTTGTTTATTTTTCTTGAAAATGCACTTTGGGGCTGGGCCCTTGCCCCACATGCACAAGGTCTAGAGTTCCATGCACAGCACTGAAAATAGAATGCATGAACTGCACTTGAACCACGGCGCCGTCTGGATTGCGGGTGGCAGGGGATCTTTTGCTTTTACACTGCTGTAGCCCAGGTGCCTTGCCGTGTCCTCTTGAGATTCCTCTCCCGAGGATAGTGCAGCGCAGTGACAGTTACCTCACGTTATTGGCAGACCTTCAAGCTTCTCAGGAGCTCGTGGAGTTTAATTCCAACAACTCCATCATGGAGGAAGAGGAGGAAGAGGAGGAGGAGGAGCCTCCGAGAATCCTTTTGTATCACGGTGAGAGAGGACTGGAGCGTGGGCCTTGGGTTGGGACAGTAACACAGATTGGGACTGAATCCACATAAGAAATGCAGGCCAGTGTCCTCAGAGTGCTTCTGCCATGTCCCAGAGAGGTCCGTACCATCTCGTTTGTTTCCTACTGAATGGAGCCCTAGTGGGGTCACTGAGCAGGGCTGAGTTTTCTGTGCTACACAAAGAGAAGAGGGGGTTCCCCGAGAGAGAGCCCAGCACCGGCCAGCAGCTTGTCTGCCTGCAGCGCAGGCCCTCTTGTGCCCTCTTTAGGAAGAGAGCAGCCGAGGAAGAGCAGGGCTCTGCCGCCCTCCGGGTGTGTCTGCACACTGCTGCACCACTGCCGGCCGTCTTGCGATAGTATGGGGACAGCTGTCTTTGTACCCCTCCCACAAGCTGCATTGCTCCAGAGCCACAAGGGCAAAAAGTGCTGGGCTCAGAAGACCAGCCAGTCGGGGCAGGGGGCCATGGTGGAACCGAGTGCCTCTGTAGGTGTTTCTGTCTTTACCTGAGGCAACAGTTACCTCCAATTTGGAGAGAATTACAGATTCCACAGTGGTGTAGAAGCAGTGCAGGGTGGTCTGGCAGGTCAGTCACCGGTGTCCCCCATTGGAGACACCTGCAGAGCTGCAGCCCCATGCGCTACACATCCATGTGGGATGTGGGCGTGCTGTGTAGCCTTTCCTTTGTTCAGACTGCTGGGTGCTTGTCATTAAATGAATAATCCCAATTCTCTTTTTTTCTCCCATGAACTGCTAACTCAGACTTTTTTTTTATTTTTTAATTTTGCATTGGTACATGATCTGATAGTTCTTAGTGGTGCCCGGTTACCCATTTGTTACCAGGGCAGTGGGTCATCCTGTACTTAGCCCTCTCTCGGCAGCCTGTCCCTGCCTGTCCCACAATGGTGGCTGTTTCCACCCACCTGCCGGGGCCTTCTGGGGTATCATATGTCTCATGGATTCTCCTGAGTGGACTATGTTAAACAGGGAAGGGTTCTGTGACTTCCCCTGCCACCAGCCAGGATCAGGGTGACCGGGCACAGCTTTACACCTGCAGCATTTTGCAGTTTCCTCCTGTCAGAGTGTCTTGGGTGTCACCTGTTGGGTGGGCCTGTCCCTGAGCACTGGCCACAGTCCGGGTCTATGCTGGACCCTAGGGCTTGGAAAAGCCCTGTATTTTCACAAGGTTATGTCCCTACCCTGGGTCACAGCTTGTCTTTCCTGCTTCGTTTTCCTTTTCATATGGCTTTTATTTTTTATTTCACAGACCTCTTGGGTTTCCACAGGCAAGTAGGGCAGCTTCCTTCCTCTCCTTCCCAGTCAGAGAGCCGTGGCCTCGTGAGCCTGGGAGTTTCTGAGGCTCTCCGCTGGTTTCCTGTGGCTTTTAAACTTTTAGAGTATTTACTTATTCTGGGGTTTCTTTTTCTCTTATTTTTCCTTTAATGTATTTTGTTTTTTGAAAGAGGGTTTTACTGCCTCAGCCTCCTGAGTGCACCATCCCTCCTGGGATGACATGTTTACCACCATGCCTCACGTGGGACTTTGTGGGTGCAGAAAATTTTGTTTGCAAGTAATTTTGTGATTACTTTATGACTTAAATAACTTTCCTCCCATTTTAAGACCCTCGTTTCTCAGTTATGCATATTCCAAATGAACTTCTTAGGTCTGGCTCTAATTATTTGCCATTAGCTGATTTCTGTTTTATACCACGCCTACACAGCGCCACGCAGACCCAGTGTCGCCTGTTCTGGGGTCTCACAACTGTGCCCCCATTGACATGGGGTGTAGCACTGCCTCAAAGAGGCTTTTGACCTCCTGGAAGAATTGTGTTAAAATTAGGTTTAAACAGTGTCAGAACTATTTTTTTTTTTTCTCTCTCTAGCTGTTGTGCTTGTGGATTTGACTTGTGTTTTTTCTTTTTCTTTTCTTTCATTTTCTTTTTTTTAATTCTAGAACCGCGTTCATTTGAAGTAGGAATGCTAGTCTGGCTTAAATACCAAAAATACCCATTCTGGCCAGCAGTGGTAAGAGCGACTTCTTTCCCCTTTAGGCAGATGGTCCCGGCGTCCAGGGCTCCCCCATCCTCTACCCTGGGTGGGGGGTGTCCAGCTTTTGTTATTGTTGGAAAACTTGGCAGAATGGTGAGAAAAAAGACCAGGGCCACCGTTCCCTAACAAAGGGATTCAATCACTTTGGCACAGTTTAGTGTGGGTTATGCAGACCAAATTGGTGGACTTAGAAAAACCTGCTTTAAAAAAGTGTTATGTGCTGGGCGTGGTGGTGCATGCCTGTTGTGCCAGCACCCTAGGGAGACTGAGGCAGGAGGATCACCAAATTCTAGCTTAGCCCAGGCAACTTAGGGGTCCGGCAAGATCTTGTCTCTAAAAGAGGGGTCGGGCTGCAGGTCAGTAAGAAGCCGCTGGGTTCAGTCCTCAGTACACTAAAGAGTACTTAGGTTTTCTGGCAGGATCAGTTGTGGATATATAGGAAGAGGTGCTCGCAGGCCAGCGGAGGTTTGCTTATAGGGCGAAAGAGCCCAGGCGAGGCCAGACTTGGCTCCGTGCTCTCTCTGTGCCTGTGAAGGGCATGTTGCTAGTTATTTTGGGGGGACAAAGGTACTCTGTTTTTTTTTTTTTTGTTTTTTGGTGGAACCGGGGATTGAACTAAGGCCCTTACGCTTGCCAGGAAAGTGCTTATTCCACTGAGCCATCTCCCCGGCCCTGACAAAGGTACTCTGTACCCTTTTACTTTTCTTTATTTTATTTTTTTTCTTTCTTTCTTTTTTTATTTATTGTTTAGGGCCCTTTTTACTCATATTTTCTCCTTCATGTTTCCCCTCTCATTTCCGTGTCATCTTCTGGCACACACAGGGTTCTGATGATTTTAGGTGTGGTTCAGTATTTTAAAGTTTGAAAAAATTTTTCATTTAACTTTTAAATTTTTTTTTTTTTTTCAGTTCTGGGGATGCACCCAGGACCTTGTGCAGGCCCACAAGCAGTGACCCCCACGGGTCAGCACCCCCAGACCTGGCTGCTTATAATTTTTTTAATCAAGAAGCAATGATGTTTCTGTCCAGAAGGTTTTTGTTCTGTAATCAGCAAGTGATGCTTTGACTGTGTTAATGGCCCTGATCTGAGCCACATCACGTGGTGTTCCCACGCACGGCTGGCTATGATGACAGAAAAGTCAGGGTTCCTCTGCAGACTGTACTAAGTATATATTTAAAAAAAGAAAAGGCAAGGCTCTCTGTACTGCCCATGCATGCAGATGTGCGGGGTCCCACGGGTGTCCCTTGGTCTGGCCGGAGGGAGTCAGTGTGCAGGGTCCCCCCCGGCTGCCCCGGCATACATCCCGTTCCCCACAGCTTTCTAGTGGGCCCTTAATTCTGTCCAGGTCCAGGATCCCTGCTGGGCTGGCAGTCACTCGTGTCACTGGGGATGTTGCTCAGGGTAGAGCTCTTGCACTGCATACTGCTGGAGAGCCAGCCCAATGCTGGTGCTGAGAGGTGGCTGCCGCAGTGTTTGCCAGGGCTTTGATTAAATGAAGACAGAAGGGGCCGGGGAGATGGCTCAGTGGAATAAGTGCTTGCCAGGCAAGCGCAAGGGCCTGAGTTCAATCCCCAGTTCCAAAAAATAAAAAATAAGTGAAGGGGCTGGAGAGATGACTCAGTGGTCTAAAGCACCTACTTGAAGCAAGCTTGGCAAAGCACAGGGACTGCGGTTCGATCCCCCAGCACCACATGCCAGCCCGCCCCACCCCCTGGTGGGCTGAGCTGGCCACACACACAATAAATAAATGTAATAAATAAAAAAATAAATAAATAATTAAAAATAAGTGAAGACAGAGCTGGGGGGGTGTCACATAGCTGTCATCCTAGCTAGTTGGGAGGCTGAGGCAGGAGGCTCGGTGCGAGGTCAAGGCCAGCCTGGGCTACACAGTAAGAGCCTCTCAGTACCCCCATAAAAGAAACCTAAATGAGTGAATCTGTGCTGCAGTGTGACACTGCACAAAGTATGCCCTGGTCCCCAGCATTTTGTGCAACGGCCCTGTGTAGTCATATTGCCACCCCCTTGTGAGGATGTGTGTGTGTGTGTGTGTGTGTGTGTGTGTAGGTGCCTGAAACCCATGGCCCCACATATTTATGACGCTGTGTTTTCTGGGACTCATTGCTAGGTCAAAAGCGTGAAGCGGCGGGAGAAAAAAGCAAGCGTGCTCTTCATCGAGCGGGACATGAACCCCAAAGGGCGTGGGTAAAGAAGGCATTGCTCTTGCTTTTTGTAAAGAGGGTCGGGAGCCCAGTGGGGTAGGGAGGGATTCAGATCAGCCCCTCACCAGGTAGAGGAGACAGCTCATTTGTTCCCTTTTCTCCGAGTTCGTTTGCTGGCACTAAAAGGCAGCCCAAACAGCTGCCTTGGGTCCCCCTTAGTAAAGCTTGGCCCTGAGATAGTGTGCCCCCCCCGAGCCCAAAGCTGCCGTTGAGCCCTGCACGAGCCAACGCCACACCTTCTGCAGGGCTCTGTGGAGGTGGCCTCTGCTGGCCTTCAGTGCTTCCTGCTTCCTCCAGTGGCCACTGCCCCTCCCTGAAGGGTCTGTCACAGTTGGAAGTCACTGCATCTTGTGAGCTCCAGCCTGGCTCCATGAGGCCCCTTAGGCAGCTAGAAAAGTCACCTCTGTAAGGGACTGCTGTCCATTGAGGCCCTTTGGTGCCCTGCAGGTTCTTGTGAGGGGAAAAGCTCAGGAACCCCAATGAAGGTCCCTCAAGCTAACTGTCACCTCTCTGCTCCACCAGCATCACTGTGTCGCTCAGAAGACTGAAGCACTTTGATTGTAAGGAGAAGCAGGCATTGCTGGTAGGTGGACTGCTGCGTGCTTGCTCCCGTGACCGCGTTACCTTGTGGCTAGTTGGACTAGGATCAGTCACAGCCCATCTGGGCAGTTGCTGGCTCCGTCTCCATTTTAGAGGGGCAGGTCATGACAGGGAGCCTAGGCACAGGCCTGGTTCTTCCTTGGCTTGATGGATGGAGCACTTGGACCGAGGGCTTGGAAACTGGGTCCCTGTTCATTGTGCTGAGCTTAGAGTGCCTGAAGTGAGCCTGGCCTTCCCCTAACAAGCTGCTTCTGTGCCTCCTGGGGTACATTCGGCTTGTCATCACACACTACTATCAGTCAAAGAATGACAGCCAAGGCAGCGGCACTCACTCGTACATCCAGGCACTCAGGAGGCTGAGGCAGGAAATTTGCAAAATTAAGGCCCACGTGGGCAATTTAGCAAGACCTTATGTTAAAAAACATAAAGGGGCTGGGGTTGCAGAATCCCTGGGTTTAGTCCCTTGCTTGAGGGGGAGGTATATTCTACTCGGAGAACACTTTTTTTTTTTTTTTTTTTTTTTTTGGCGGAACCAGGGATTGAACTCAGATCCTTGCGTTTGCCAGTCAAGTGCTTATCCTACTGAGCCATCTCCCCGGCCCCCACTTTTTTTTTTTTTTTTAACAGTTTTTAAAAGGGAAAAATAAAACACCAGACAGGTAGCTATGGGGTCACTGTGATGCCACCTCCTTTGGCACAGGGATTTTTACTTCTCAGCAATGAAGCACTTGGGCTGGCAAGATAGCTCGGTGGTCTAAAGCACCTATTTAGGCAAACTTAGGCAAGTGGTCAGGGACTGTGGTTCGATCCCCAGCACCACATGCTGAGCAGCCACAAAAACCAAACAAACAAAAAAAATGATGCAGCACTCAAGTTTTCCTGAGCCTTGTGTTCCGGTGAGGCAGGATGCAGACCCGTGCATCCATGGTGGCCAGCAGGACAGCCAGGGCCATGGTGACCTGGGCCCTCTGCAACTGGCTATGCTGCTGCTTGATGGTCCAAGCTTCCCAGCAAGTCTTTGGGTGCTGGGTATATCTTGGGGCTTTTTTTGGTGACCGTTGTGGGTTTCTCTCTTCATTTTTTTGCTGGGAATGGAACCTAAGGTCTTGTACATGCTGAGCATGTGGTTACCACTGAACTACACACTCAGCTCCCTTTTTTTTTAGTGGTATGGGAGATCTGACTCAGG